CTAAGAAAACTCAAATAGGTCTGTAAGTACATCAACAACACGCAATTCCTTTTCCTTTCTGAAAATGTTAAACCTTCTACAATCAGCTGATAGTTGGCAGACGTTCTGTCACTGATCCGTTGGACTGTAAAGTTCACCATCCGAGTCCTCAATATTTCACATTGGGACGCATTTTTACATTCAAAAAAGCAAATAAGTACACGGATGGAGACGGTGCGGATGGGCCAAAAACAGACATAAAGATTGAAGTAGGTGTTGTTTTACTCTTAATTCCTTTTAAAGTGGAGGAGGGGGTTAGGGTTAGGGTTTGTTCTGTCGTTGAACTTGCTCAGCAGCATCCGGAAACATCGGGAAAGTCATCAAAACTGAGTCATTTACCGGCAGCGGCAGTTCATTTGACTGAATAGGAGCTGGATTACTCTCCAAATAGAGACCCACAATACAGGATGGACCCTCGCTGACTAATCAGACGAGTGGAGGAGGAAACAAGTCAGCACATAAACTGAACACTCAGATACAAACAGAGAGAAACCACCAGCACCCCTAACGTCAGGATGTTGGTCAAAACCATTATTGTGTCCCTCAGCGCTAAATGCTGACACACACACATAAACATACTGATTGTGTGTTTTCTTAAAAGTAAAAAAAAGCTACAAAGATAGATATTTTTCGGAACACTTCTGCGGTGTCTGAGGTGGTAAAAATCAAGAGGAACGTTAACAACAAGATATTGTTTATTATTATCATGGTCAAACATTTTGGGAAATACACTTTTCTGGTTTCTCTTATTATGTTGGATATCATTCTCATGTTTGCATTACAAGAAGCCAGTTGGCTCAGCTTATGTAAGCATACAGACTGGGAACATGGGGGAACATATACAGGGGATTTCCCTGCAGCACCCCAAAACTTCTAGATGACAAGTTACATTTTGTTTGTTGAATCCGTTTAAAACCCAAGAAAAGAAAATAGGAAGTTGGTTAAATGGCTGCAGCAGGTCTGTGAGACTAGTTACACACAAGGCCAGCAGCATCAGACATTTTGCTGAAATGTCAACAAATGGTATGTTTTGGATTTATGTTTTGGTGAGCCTGTGAATCATTTTTCTCCTTTAAACTCTGATAAAAGGCAGGTCAAATCACATGTAGTCATTACGTATTTACCTCTCGCAATAAAAGCCCTACACAGATCATATTCATATTTTCATTTTGTTAAACGTTATCCATCCGTGTGTAAATGCCTGAAAAGGTTATGGACAAACATGTAGTTACGCTACTGTTCAGTAGAGGTAAAACACACACACACACACACACACACACACACACACACACACACACACACACACACACACACACACACACAACTATTGATTTAACAACATTCGTTCCTCCTTCGTCATAACTCTAAACTAAATCATTATGAAAACCTTGGATTTCCGTGTAAACAAACTCAATTTAAGTTCATATTCACTGTTTGTCTCCTTGCTGTCTGACAATGGTGTTGAATGCTTTCTCTTCTTCACAAAACATACATTTTAAGCGTTTAATGCATTTTTCAGCCTCTTTCCTCCTTCTCTGCACCTGAATCCCTTCATTAGCCTCACCTGTGCCCCTCCACCTGGTCATCAGGTCAGGTCATCTATATATAATCTTATTCGCCCTGGCTGCATTAACCTTGAGAAAAAGGCATTTTTTAAAGATGGTTTTGGTTGCAGTCTGTTTGAGTCGACCTGCTCCACTATTAGTGAGACCTGGTGGATTATATATTTATCTTATCTAAGTTATTACTGTGTGTGTAAATATATATATATATATATTTACACACTCTATGGTGACGAGATACAAATATATTTTTTAAGTCAACAATCAATCAGAACAAAAAGCACGTTATAATACATCATTTTAAAAGTTGATCATTAGCTTTGCAGTTTAACAAATGTAGTGTTAAAAAGGAAATACTCAGGTAAAGGACAGGTTTGTCAACATTGTAATTATGTGAAGCACTTCTGGGTTTTTTCCATCGCTGATAAGTGGGAGAATTCACTGATTCTAAATAAATTGCACACCATCGCCTCGTCAGCACTCTAGATATTTACCCTGCAAACACTGCGAAGATAAGCAATTTATAACCTTCTCCAATCGCTACGTGGCTCTGTGCCAAACAGCGCTGCGTTTCTTCATTTCTGTCTGTTAACTAACATCTCATCTGTAAACAACAATAAATCTCCTCCTTCAAAATAATTCTAATTACTTTTAAATCCTTTCTTTCCACCAAACTTGCAACATACAACATAGATTTCCAAAACAACAATTACGATGTAATACACACACACACACACACACACACACACACACACACACACACACACACACACACACACACACACACACACACACACCATCTTTTATCAGCTGAAGCGGGAGGGGAGCTCTGAGAGATCAAGATTTATTGCGCATGGGAGATAACACACACACTAACACATGTACAGACCACACACTGCGTAGACAGGGGATAACACACACGACACATATTCATGTACACACACACACACGCACACGCACGCACGCACGCACGAACGCACGCACGCACGCACGCACGCACGCACGCACACATCAAAAGCTCCTGGCTGGGATCACTGCTGCCCTCTCCTCCCTCCTCTTGACCTCTGACCTTCCTCTCTTCATTCTCCGTCTCTCCGTCTCTGTCTTTCATCTTCCTCACACTCGTTTCTCTCTCAGTCTGAAGCCGCTGGCCACCTTTTCTACATTTGTCTTTTATTTGGCTGAATGAAAAAACATCTTGACACACTTTTTAGTGTTGCAAGATCAAATGGAAATATAAATATAAAAACACATTTCAAAGTTGTAATAGGTTTGCTTTCATATCTTCGATGTAGGAAATACGTTTTGAAACTTCATATATAACGAGGGAGCATTTCAACATTCAAATTCTGCATCGCTTGTTTTACTTTTTTGCACTTCTAGTCATTCTGTTAAAAGACGGTATTTACGTACAGTGCAGATAAAGTTTAGGCTAAAATAAATTAACAAGTATTTGTACAAAGTAGATTAAGATTCCAGTCCTGGCTGCGTTTGATTGTTTCTGACTTTGATCCAAACATTTCCAATAACTCCCGAGTGCTGTTATTGAAAAGATGTATTCATTTCCAAAATGCACATGTTTTATATAACAAAATGTTCAGTTTCAATCCATATTTGTTGGCTTTAACCCTCCTATTGTCTTCGTCTCCCCCCCCCCTTACTTTAATAATAATAATAATAATAATCCTTATATTTATTATAGCGCTTTATCAATGACTCAAAGCGCTTTACAAACACACATTAATATAAGGATTATTATTATTATTATTATTAAAGTAAGGGGGGGGGGAGACNTATTCTTTGTATATATACTGCATTTTTTCATGTATAGGCCTACCAGTAGTCTGATACAATATTTACAGTTTGAAAGGGTGTTAAATGAAATGTGGTGATGATTAATGGTTTTTGTGTTAATGTAATAGCAGTTAAAACAGGAC